GATGTATTTGGTTTTAGAATATGGAAAAATTTCATTAGAAGATTTTCTGATCAAGTTATTCTCTACCAGTACGATGTCAATTTGCATCAGCGAGATAACATTTTAAAATTGCACTCCTTAACGCATAACCAGTTGTCTCCCCCACGATTTATTAATGTTTTTAAATACGCCTGGTTTGCATCTGGATATACAGGGTGCCCATTATCTATGGAATATAGTATATATCTTGATAGGTATCAACTTTATAAAAAAACATTTTATACAAAGTTGTTTAATATTTTATTTGCCTTTGGATATCCGAGATCATCAAGTACCTCGAAGTGCCTCGAATTATTGGAGATGTACACTAATTTTTCGTTTATTTATTTCATTTTGTACGCCCATTTAATTTACAGTAATAATTTGAGATCTCGGGTATCTAGATTAATGTTATTAATTTATTTTTATTATTAAACAATTTTAACATTTTTTCAAAAATTTTTTAATGTAAAAATTTTAAGCCATCGTAAAGAGACAAGTAATCTCTATCAAATGAGCCTAACGAAAGAATTCATTGCCATTTAAAAAAATGTAAGTATTATTCGTTACTCATTTGTTTTCTGAATTGAAAACAATTGAATGCAGTCTTATTATGGCAAATAAAATATTAAACAACTTTTGTATAAAATGTTTTTTTATAAAGTTGATACTTATCAAGATATATGCTATATTCCATACATAATGGGCACCCTGTATAATTATCCTAACTTTTGTGTTATTTAAATAGAATAAGGATAAAAAGCTTTTTCTGTAGGAGTATGAAAGTTATTAGCGAAAATATATGTTCTATCCCAAACTTCTCACCCTTGTAAGTTCTTACAATAGTACAACATAACGTATAAAAAAATCATAGTGATAAATTGCACCAAAATCGACAAACAATTTTCAAAAAAAAGAATAATTTTTGGGGTGGTTAGAGTAGTTAACCCCAGCCACCCCTTAATGTCGTATAGGGTTTATTTTACTGCGTAAATCTTAATTTACATCTAATTAATGGTTTTCTTCAAAATATTGTTTAAAAGTGTAACAGTTTATCACATTATCTTTAAGGAAAGGGGTTATCTGTCATACCCCGTAAGTTTGCAGGGGATGGTCAGAGGCAAATAAGAAAAAACACGTCATTAATATTTTTAAACGTACTATAAGGATACATAATATCGCCAAAATCGACAGGATAGTTTTTCAAATATTCCAAAAAACTAGGGGTAGTTTACCCCCTGAAGCCCTCAGATAAATGTGTGATATATCAATGGAAAGCTCTTTGAAAATGAATATTAGTTTACATAGTTTACCACATTTCGATAGCTATTTTTGTTTTCAGCCTATAAGCGAATATATATATTTCGCCCCGATTTCTAACCCTTATAACTCGCCCCAGGGGCTTTATTAGCACGTATAAAAAAATACGTAAACCTTATTTTTGGCCATACTATCGCTGTACCAAATTTCAATAAAATCGGTGAGGGACACCGATACTTCCCGTAAGTTGCATATTTTTATTGAACTAAAACTAGTACTAACACTAGACCTAGAACTAGAAACATTCGGATTTAGCCGCACGTCTCTCAAGACGGCTAAATCCAAATGTTTCTAGTTCTAGGTCTAGTGTTAGTTCTAGTTTTACACTAGCACTATCACTAGAACTAACACAAGACCTAGAACTAGAATCATTCAGGTTTAGCCGTCTTGAGAGACCTGCTGCTAAATCCGAATGTATCTAGTTCTAGGTGTAATGTTAGTTCTAGTGACACTGCTAGGTAGCGCTAGTTAGTGTAAGATATCACTCTGCATATTTTTATTGCACTAAAACTAGAACAGACCTAAGTAGAACTAGAAAGTATCTGGTTTAGCCGTGCGTCTCTTAACACTGCCGAAAACTCAGGGTTATCATAAAGGTGTCACCTTTTTCCAAGCAAAATTATCCAATGCCTGTACTATTAAGCTATGCTGCATTTTATATTGGACAATGCAAATGCATAGTAGTTTTGTAACTATGTTTACAGCATTCATAGCTCGCAATCTATGAATCTATTATATGAAATTCTCGGTATATCTTATTAAGCTATTTATTTTAGAATATTGAAGAGGGTAGCCGAACGTACATTTACGTGTCTTTGTCGAGCGATGTTAAAGAAGTATCTGGTAAATTTTTTGACAACTGTCAAGAAGCATCTTTATATTCATCAGCAAGTAATCCCGAGCATGCTAAAATGCTTTGGGTGAAATCAGAAGAATTAACAAAACTATCTGAGGATGAAAAAATTAAATGATTTATACATTACTGAAGATTTGATACAAATTGGGTTGCATATGTTAAATTTTTTATTTTTATAACTTAAAACAAGGTTGATGAAGTTATTTTATGATCCTTTTTAAACATTAATAAAAAACCTACTCATCTCGTTATCTGTAATCTACTCCCAACTTGTTTCCAAAACAAAAATAACACAAAATAAAATGAACTGCTTCATGTTTTATACAATATCATTTATTATAACAATAATTTTCATAACAGTAGTACTAAAATTATATTTTAAATTACGTATAAAACCTCTTAAAACATACACGTGTTTAATCGGAAAAACTGTAATAATAACTGGTGCAAATACGGGTATACAAAAAAATATATTCATCAAAAAATAGTTAAAAATAAAAATATTTTCTTAATTATTATAGGTATAGGATATGTAACAGCCATAGATTTAGCACAAAGAGGTGCGAAAGTTATTCTGGGTTGTAGAAATGAAGAGAAAGCTCAAGAAGCTGTAAAAAATATTATAAAACAAACAAAAAATGAAAACGTTTCCTACAAAATATTAGATTTAAAATCGTTTCAATCAGTTAGAGAATTTGCGAAAGAAATTAACAAAAATGAAGATAAAATTGATATATTAATAAATAATGCCGGTGTAGGAGGTGTTGGAAATAAATTAACTGAAGATGGAAATCAAATGACCCTTCAAGTTAATTATTTATCACATTTTTTGCTTACACATTTACTTATTGGTATGCATATGAAAAAAATTTTTCATTTCGTTAATCAAATATCTTTAAAGATAAATTAAAAAATGGCGATAAAAGCCGTATAATTAACGTCTCATCTGTAATGGCAAGATATGCAAATATTAACGTGAAAAATTTAAATGAATACTCCGCGAATTTACATCCCGTTTTAGGAAGACTTCGATTGTATGCAAATTCAAAATTATGTCAAATTTATTTCACTATAATTTTGGCGGAAAAATTGAAAGGAACAGGAATATGTGTTAATGTTTTACATCCAGGTTCTGTGCAAACCAATATTTTTAGAAAAATTCCGTATGAGATTTTTGTTAATATAATTTCAAGGATTTTCTTTAAAGTTAGATAAAAAAACATATTTTTTTAAGAACAAAATAAACAAAATCATTTTTAGACTCCGGAAGAAGGTGCTAGAACCAGTATCTTTCTCGCTACTTCTAAGTTAATTGATAATATTTCTGGAAAATTATTCGATAATTGTAGCCAAATTGAATTTTATAAATCAGCAAGAGATAAAATTTTAGGTGCAGAGATTTGGAATAAATCCGAGGAATTAGTTTCATTAGAACAAGATGAAAAAATATTTTAGTTTTTTTGATTAAATATATAGAATGTTTCAAACTTCCGTAAATATTAAAAACCTATTACTTAGTACTCCACCATTCACAGGAATAATCGACAATTTTTTCAAATTTTGCAATTTTCGCCGATTATGTTTTAAAAATCCACTTCTCGGAATATGAGTGTGAAAATTTCCTGAAGTGTCAATAAAAGTGCCCTATTTCCTATGAACCAACCCGTTTTGAGAAATAACTTTTAGTTTTTGAGAAAACTATATTTGAAGTTTTGATAAAATTTTCGATGTTGCAATTTTCATCGATAATTTTCAAAATTTGCTATAAAATTCATTTCTTGACGAATCCTTGTGGAAATATCACCAATTATTAATTAAAGTATCCTCTTTTTAATACAACAAGCCGTTTTGAATAATCGCTTTTAGTTTTTGAGAAATAAATTTTTGAATGATCGACAATTTTTTCGAACTATGCAATTATCGCCGATTAAGTTTCAGAAATTCGTATAAAATCGATTTCTTGGAATATGAGTATGAAAATTTCCTAAAGTGTTAATAAAAGTGCCCTCTTTTCTATGAACCAACCCGTTTTGAGAAATAACTTTTAGGTTTTGAGAAAACAATATTTGAAGTTTTGATAAAATTTTCGATGTTGCAATTTTCATCGATAATTTTCAAAATTCGCTATAAAATTCATTTCTTGACGAATCCTTGTGGAAATATCACCAATTATTAATTAAAGTATCCTCTTTTTAATACAACAAGCCGTTTTGAATAATCGCTTTTAGTTTTGGAGAAATAAATTTTTGAAATGATCGATAATTTTTTCGAGTTTTGCAATTTTCGCCGATTAAGTTTTAAAAATTCGTATAAAATCCAGTTCTTGGAATATGAGTATGAAAATTTCCTAAAGTGTTAATAAAAGTGCTCTCTTTTCTATGAACCAACCCGTTTTGAGAAATAACTTTTAGTTTTTGAAAAAACAATATTTGAAGTTTTGATAAAATTTTCGATGTTCGAAATTCATTTCTTGAAGGATCCTTGTGGAATGCCGAATATCCGGTCTCCGGCTTTTCGCAAGATCACTAGTAAATATGTAGTAATTAAATCTATATAATAATTTTTATAAATACTACTATAAGTAACTCAATATACCACCAAATAAAAAAGGTTGATCTGCGGGATCTGCGTTCATTTTAAAATTTATACTTTTTTATTACCAGTTTTATTGTCACAATCTTATTGTTGTTACATACAAAAAAATGATAATACTAAACGATACAATAATTTTTTATGAGAAATTAATACAAATTTTCATTATAATCTTAATAATATCATGGCGAATTTATTTAAAATTACGAATAAAACAAACAAATTCCTACACTTATCTATTTGGAAAAGTTGTAATTGTAACAGGGGCAAATAAAGGTAAACTTTATTCAGATTTAATCATAATTTAGTACTAAATTATTTCTTTTAAGGAATCGGCTATTTTACCGCTTTAGATTTAGCAAAAAGAGGTGCTAAAGTAATTTTAGGTTGCAAAAATGAACAAGGAGCGATATTGGCAGTTAAAAAAATTATTTACAAAACAAATAATAAAAACGTTTCTTACAAAATTTTAAATTTAATGTCGTTTGAATCAATACGAAAATTTGCTATGGAAATTGATCGAAATGAAGAAAAAATCGATGTTTTAATTAATAACGCCGGAGTAGCAGGTTTTGGCGAGTATTTAACCGAGGATAATTTACAAATAACTCTTCAAGTTAACTATTTCGGACCATTTCTATTAACTCGCTTATTAATGAGATCTTTAAAACGATCGGAATCAGCTAGAATTATAAACGTTGCTTCGCATATGGCGAAATTTGCAAAAATTCCAAAATTTCAAATCGACGCTTATCCTAATGATTTAATCGACAATTTCGCAAAAATTCGTTTGTACGCAAACTCTAAATTGTGTATGATTTATTTCACAAGTGCGTTAGCGAAAAAATTGAAAGGAAATAACATTACTGTGAATGCTTTACACCCCGGAGGAGTTCAAACCGATATTTTTAAACGATTACCTTTCCAAATGTTTATCAAATTTATTACTAAAACTTGGTTTATGGTAATTATTAATCTTAAATATTTATTTTTTTAATTATTTTTTTTACAAATATAGACTGTGGAGGAAGGATGTAGAACTTCAATCTATTTAGCTACGTCTAATGAAGTTGAAAACGTTTCTGGAAAGATGTTTGATAATTGTACTGAAGTTGATTTAGAAAAGTATATTAAAAATTGGGAGTTAGAGGATATTATTTGGGAACAATCTGAAGAATTAGTTTGTTTAGATAGAATGGAAAAAAATTTGATTAATTAAAAGAGAATTTAAACGAATGTCGTTGTATAGATTACCCAATTTACTGTTTTTAGTAAACTTTATCCATTTCATAAAAAGATAAAATTCAATTTTGTCAAGATAAATCAAGATAATATCAACTTCAAACATATCTTCAACTATTTTAAGGCTTGATTTTTCAATAATAAAATTCTTAACATTCGATTTTTTTTGTTTTAACTCGGATAACCTCCAAATCAAGTTCAGAAGGAAGAAATTTAGTAGCTTATCTCCAGTTAACAACATTAATAAAAAATGGTTGATTTAATATCTTTCTCTCTTGTGTTAATAATATTGGGTGTTATTTTGAAAATATATATAAAACTCAGTGTGAAACATAATGGATGTTATAAGTGTCTTGTTGGAAAAACTGCTGTTGTTACTGGTTCAAATACGGGTAAGATAAAATGTTTTTAGGTTTTGCTAAATTTATGTTTATATTGTTATATCCACAAAATGTTTATATACACCTTGGCAAATCTATCTTGGCCAGTCAGTTGCGTCGAAGAGTGAGACAGATAAACTCGTTATATCGATATCCTTGTAATATTACAGCTTTTCAGAAATACATATCATGTGAAGTACTTAAAAGCTTGCCTTGTGTTATTCACTTTGAAGTCATCCCTCATTTGTAATTTTAACACAATGGTGTGCAGAATTTTTCAAAAATATGAAAATTAGAAGAGTGTTAAAAAAAAATCGGTATCCGAAGCATGATACAGAAAAACTTTTACAACAAAAGTTGTAGCAAATTGTACCCTTAACACAATAGTCTATAACATTTTTGCTCCCAGATGCATCAATGTGCAGAATTTTTCAAAAATATGAAAATTAGAAGAGTGTTAAAAAAAATCGGTATTCGGCGCATCATACAGAAAAACTTTTACAACAAAAGTTGTAGCAAATTGTACCCTTAACGCAATAGTCTGTAACATTTTTGCTCCCAGATGCATCAATGTGCAGAATTTTTCAAAAATATGAAAATTAGAAGAGTATTAAAAGAAATCGGTATCCGGAGCATGATACAGAAAAATTTGTACAACAAAAGTTGTAACAAATTGTACCCTTAACACAATGGTCTGTAACATTTTTGCTCCTAGATGCATCAATGAGGACAATTTTTCAAAAATGAAACTAGAAGAGTGTTAAAAAAATCGTTGATTGAGGAGAGCTCTTCTTCTTCTTGCTTCTTATATATTTCTTCACGTTTTCACGTGGGTCTATTAGTATACTCCACATACTCGGAAATAATTATAACCCATAATCCTTACGTATAAGCAATAATATTTATTGATATTTTTTATATATTATATATATTTTATTTCCAGGAATTGGTTACATAACAGCGTTGGATTTTGCAAAAAGAGGTTGCAAAGTAATCTTAGCTTGTCGAAATAAAGTCAAAGCTGAAGCAGCTGTTTTCGAAATTCAAAAAGAAACCAATAATAAAAACGTTATTTACAAACATCTCGATTTATCTTCGTTTAAATCAATAAGAGATTTTGCTGGTGATTTTAATCAAATGGAAAGCAAATTAGATATTTTAGTAAATAACGCAGGCGGAATCGGGTTTGAGAATAAATTTACTGACGATGGATTACAAGTAATTTTACAAACGAATTATGCAGGACCGTTTCTTCTAACCCACTTGCTTTTGGATAACCTAAAAAAATCCGAATCTGGTCGAATTGTTAATGTAGCTGCATTAGCGGGACGTTTAGCTGGCAATATTGATTTAAACGATTTAAATAAGCACCCGAAAGACGCAACAGGATTTTATTCGCCTGTTCAAACGTACAAAAACACGAAATTGTGTAATATATTGTTTACAATTGAATTGGCTAAAAAATTATATGGCACGAATGTTACCACTAATACTTTACATCCAGGGATTATTGATACTAATTTTTTATTAACGATTCCGTTTTTTAGAAAATTAGTACAATTTATTGGAAAATTTTATTTTTTAGTACTGTTGAAATTAGGTTAAAATAGAATTATTTTTGATAAGATTCTTTTGTAGACTCCTTTAGAAGGTGCTCAAACAACAATTTACGTTGCGCTATCTAATGATTTAGAAGGCGTTAGTGGAAAATTATTTGATAACTGTCGTGAAGTTGGGATGTATTCAAACGCTAAAGATCCTAATATGGCTAAAAAACTTTGGGAAATAAGTGAAAAATGGTGTAAAATTGAAGAAAATGAAAAAATTCGCTAAAATTTACATTAACCAAATATTGGTTGTTCTAATTAATATTGTTCTAAAATAAATATTAAATGAATACGAATACTCATAAAAATGTATTACTAATATATTTTCTTTCAACACTACCTAGTTATTATTTTATTGTTATTATTGTAATATTTAATTCAACTAACTGTAAAACAAGTATATTCGAAAGAGAGGCAAGAAACAGCTTTCGCATACAATGTTATAACAATTAAAAATTACTCCAACAGCCAGCCACTTCTAATCATACATTAACAAAAAACTTTATAGATTATGCTAAAAAGAAATAAAATAAAGCATGTTTAGAATTAAAAATTATTTATTTAAGTATGTAGTATAAAATGAATCATTTTTACTAACGTATTATTGACTTGTAGCCGTATTGTAAATATTAAAAATTAATTGAGACCATGAGCATTTTCCGTCTTTACATCCAGCGTATAGATCGATATTATTCGATCCGTTGTCGTTAGGTGGTTGACAAATACACCCGCTGTTACAATCTCTTCCTTGACATACATCCTTTGGTACGCATTCTTTGTATGTGGAATCTTTATAAATCATGTTTGGCGGACATGGTTTTGAGTTACAAGCTTCTGCGCACACTTTATCTGGACATTTAACACTCTTCTGACAAGTTTCTATTGGACACGGTGTATCACAAGAGTAATAAGCATTATCGTTGTGACATTGATAAGCTAAATCATTAATATTAGAATTAATACTCTTAATTCAATGTAAATTTGTAATTTAAACTTACGACAAATCGTGTTTGTTCTCCAATTAACAGGTACTCCAACGTCGTTACATTCTTGAGCGTAAGCAGACAATGTTTGACAATAATAATTAGTTCGTTGATTTTCGGGTATTGAAAGTTGTAAATTTGCGTTTATTAAACATCTATTATAATATTCTTCAACAGGTTTTAGTAATCGACATGTTTCAAATTTTTCGCTGTATAAGATATCACAGAAGTTATCTATCAAGGTTACTTTCTACAAAAGAAATTTGTTGTTAAATTATAACAGTAATTATATTAAATTGATTTACCTCAATTTCGGAACTTCTTGGGCATGTTCTATCAACACGGTAATAATCTACGAATTCAGGAACATCACTTACGCTTGCTGGAGTGTCGAGATCATTTTTTGGATTATCATCGTATTTACCACATAAACCGAGATGATTCTAAAATTAAATGTTTTAATTTAAAAATTAAACAAACAATATAAATGAGTATTTTGAGTACCAAAATATGATAGGCATAATCGCCTAAATTATTGAATATAGACCATTTTACACATACTAACTACTTAATTTGCAAACTAGTAAAATTTACCCGTGTTGTCCAAGATCTCGAAACATGAATATGAACCCAACCACTTTTATTCCATACAACTCTGACACCCATTCCAATTACATCGACCATAATCGAAAGTTCCATATTTGTTATAACTAAATTGTTTAATTTATTTGGCCGTATAAATTCTTCGCCAGTTACCAAAATGACATTATCTTCGTTGCCTTTTGAATCACGAATATAAACTTTGACACTTTTAATACACGATCCAACGTTACACTGCGTAGTCTGAAAAGTATAAGTGTTAATTTATTAATTTGTTGTATAAAAAGCAACATACCGTAAGTGTGACCCTAAATACTCCATAAGTTAAAGATGAGTGCTCTAATAACGTGTACTCACAAATTCCTTTAAAGGAATAAATTAGTTCGTCAAAAGTTCTGACGTGAATGTTATTCCAAACGGAACATTTCTCCCAATGGTCGGCTTCTGGAGAGCAACTCCAAGCTCCACCATGACAAGTACTTAAAGTAACGATTTAAAAATAAAAAGAACAAAAAAAATAATATTTTTAATAAATTATTTACCATTTTTGATTTCTCTCATGTCGTTCCGTTTTATCTGGAAAACTTATTCCTTTATACAAACAAGGACAAAATTCCGGATAAACACAAATCTTTTCTTCTGTATCGTATACCGTTCCCTCTTCACATTGACAACCACTGTGACAATTTTCATAATTTGGTTTCTCGTTAAGATGCTTGTTTTGACATGTTACGGGGTTGACACGTTTGCAACCAGAGTATTCAAGGTTATCATTTGAGCTACATTTTTTGTTGAGTTCGGTGGTGGTTGGATATTTAGTTTTATCGTCTGGGGTAGCTGTGGTCACATTCCATATCGCATTTTTACATACCCTAAGTAACAACGTTTTTTTATTAAATTATTATTTATTGAAATCAATGCTACTTACCTTAGTTTATCACCATGTATAAACGTAAAATCTGGTGGATATCGTTTATTTTCCCATATACACGGACATGTATTAATTGGAACACACTGGTTAATACTATTTAACGTCTGCCCTTCAGGACAACTACATCCATCAACACAGATCCGTCTACATGTTAAGCTGGTGGAGACATCTTCACATGTTCGAGTACAAGGATTTGCACAAACTTGGTAAGTTTGCCCAGCTGGGCATTGAAGTGCACATTGTGCGATTTTGTTACGCCAATCTACGTTAATTCCTTTTGCTGCACATTCATCACTTTGAATGGAGTAGAATTCACAAACACAAGTTTTTTGCTGCATTACATAGAATTGGGTTAAATTAAAATTGAATGTAATTTTAAAATTAACTTACTTCATCTGTGCATTGGCAAGCGTCATAAAGGCAATCATCATAAACGCTATTTACATCATCAAGGCACCCTATTAATAATTAATTTTTAATACATTTCTCGAAATATATCATTATGGGATTATTACCTTTGAATAAATCACTTTTTAGCGCAGCACAGCTTTCTTCAGCTTTAGCTTTTCTATTTGGATTAGCTACACAAGGATGCTCAACTGGGCCAGTATACTCATCTTTGCAACTACCAGGAACTTTCCAGGAATTTCCAAATTCCGTTGAATCCTTTGTTATGACACCGTTAGGCATTAAGAAATCATCATCTTGAGACTTAGTAAATGTACCAAGTAATCCCTACGATAAAAATAATGCTTATTTTGATAATAACAAATTAAAATAAATATTACATTTACTTTTCCTATCATTGTGGTAGGAATGCTAACTGTAACGCGAGAATTGCCATTCCATGTTACAGTGACGTGACCATTTAATAAAACGGTGGTTAATTCACTACTCGGTTGATTAATGCGGAATTCCGAATTAATATAAGGACGAAAACCAATTGTATGGCCATTAACTTTAACATTATGTTTCTGTTCTAATTCGATGATGTTACCTCCAGAGTGGATTATTACTTTTGCACAATAAGATGGTGCTTTTGATTTATAATCTTTCTGCAAATTCAAATCATGTTTAAAGTTTAACAATATAGTTTTAAAAAATGTACTTACAACGAATGCTCCATTCTTCCATATGTAATGATCACACATTACATCAAAATTATTACCTCTTACTAAATAATAAGTACATTTTCCCATAAAGTCGAATTTTTTGCCATCGAAAGTCTTACAATGTGGATCGCCTACACAATGTCCCTCCACTGTAGGAACATTCTAAAATTAAAAAATCTTAAATTAAAAATTTTAAATTAAAAAGAAAAGGTTGACATACGATAACACCATTACATTCGTCTCTTTTTACACATTGCTTGTAAGTAGAATCTTTATAAATCGTGTTAAATGGACATGGTGCGACATTACATGCTTCCGAGCAAACTTTATCTAGACAATTAACGTTACTTTGGCAAGTGTCTTTTGGGCAAGGAGTTTCACATGGATAATACACCGTATTTGTTTTACAACCATACGCTAAAACCGATAATATATTTAAATAAACAATACTTATTTAATTGCTTTAAGTAGAAAAAACACTTACGACAAATTCGATTCGTTCTCCAATTTACAGGTTGCTTAATATCATTGCATTCTTGAGCATACGCAGATAATGTTTGGCAATAATAATTAGTTCTTTCATTTTCCGGTTTTAATAATTGTGTATTAGCATCAATTAGACATCTTCTGTAATATTCATCAATTGGTTTTATAAGACGACACTTTTTGAATGCTTCACTGAATAAAATATCGCAGGTGTTTTCAGGAACCAAAATGTTTACGTTCTAAAAATTTTTATTTCTTAATCGTTGTTATCTATTATTTATGAGGTGATTTAATAATTTTGGGAGAGTTTAATGAAAGGGTAACTGAATATGATGAAGGAAGAAAATAAATGAAGGTGTTTTTACTAAAAACTCAGAACACTAAATCAAAAACTAATGAAGAAATAGCCGAAATTAACCTGATCACAAATACAGCGCTGACTCGACCAAAACAAAAAAGACAGCACTATATAAAGAAATCAAAAAGCAGCTAAATCACCAGGAGAGGATAACATCGTAGTCGAAATGATAATAGGAAACCGAGAATCGATGCTGTGCACAGAATATGTCAACTAATTTGAGATCAGGGTGGATACCATGAGTACTAGATGGTTCAGAAAAGGTATGTGACAATTATCGAACAATTGCCTTCATCTCGCAAAGTAATGTCTAAATAATATCAAAACGCCTTAAGCACTATATATTGTCACAAATGCTACAGGAGCAAGATTGCTTGGCTTTGTGTCAAGTGGAATGCGAGAACAAATGTTGAACATAAGACAAATCATAGAAAAGGCCACAGAATTTATCATTTATGCTTCATAGATTACATAAAGGCCTTCGATTGCGTTCAATGGCACAATCTCTGGCACATCCTGAATGAAATGGGCGTACCAAGACACCTCGTGACTGATTTCAGACTACCAGTTTGAATTCGACGATTTTTCTTGATGTATCTTAGGCTTTCTGATGACGCAATATGTCTAACTCTTGTAATCTAGAAAGTCTAGATTACAAGAGTTAGACAGAGATAGATCTAGAAAGTTAATTTAATTTCGACAACCGCATTTATTGTTTCAATTTGCAAAACGAACAGCCGGTTGTATTTCAGGTCTTGTAATTGGAACGGATAATTCAACCAATACTTAATTTTATGAAAGATTATTTCGGCGTCTGTCATCAATTTAAATTGGTTTTGCCTGCGCAAACTGTGATCAGCAAAGTTAACACTTCCCTAGAGCATCTTCTGATAACATTTTCTTCACTTTACGGGAAATTAATTAACAAGCATTAACTAACGCTTGGTAACTGGGTACTTTTGTAGGATCCGACAAATGCGTCAGTGAACACGTGATGTATTGCCAAAAACACTTCTTGGTGTTCGTCTGGAATTTGGTGATCATCCCACATCAAATGACATCCTTTGTCACATTCCACGTAGTGTGTTCTTTCCAAAGTCAGCGTGTGGAATGACACCAATGAAAAACATTTTTTCTCCCATCTGTTTTGAGTTATCCAAACCGGTAAATATAGATACCCGTAATACCATTTTTAATGTGCATAACGTATATCTATTTGAAATGATGACAAACTAATACATATTAGACCTTATTGACATCGCATCACTGAAGGTTCTTCATCTAAACAGATACTCTTAAAGTCCTAATTAATAAAATATCCTGTAAATACAATTTCTAGTCTACAAATTAACAGTATCTAGCTTTGTCAGCAGCATTCAGTCTTTTACTAATCGTATCTCCTCCGCAACCAGAAGGAAGTCTTCTGCAAGCACTATATGTAATTTTCTGCAAACATCATTTATCGTTATCTTGTTGGCTGTCATCAATATGTACTTTATACTGTTGGCAGTATAACATGGTGAATATTATGTACATACCTAAATAATTTTTATTCAACATTACAAATCCAATGGCAATTGAAGTCATGTTATAAGAGAAATTAGTTTGGATTAATTAACATGTTCCTCTGGGGCTTATCCAATGGCTTACGTTTTTGAGAAGTAACATTAAAGGTAAGGAGGAGTGGTTCCAAATTAAGAAAATATAAAAGTGGGAAACATTAGTATGTTCGTTACCGGCAATTCACTGCTTCCCGGACATGTTTTATCAAGTCGATAATAATCCACAGCTTCTTTAACACTATTTTTGAAATTTGGAGTATCTAAATCATTGTTTGGATTATTATCATATCTTCCACATAAACCAACTTGATTCTAAAATAAAATAAAGTATTATTTTAGTATTAATTAAAAAATTTTTTCTCATCTTACCATTGTAGTCCAAATTCTTGAAACATGAATATGTACCCAACCTCCTTTATTCCAAACAAGTCTAACGCCCATCTTAATGACATCAACCATTATTGAAAGATCTAAATCTGTTATTACTAAATGATTTAATTGGTTAGGTCGCACGAAAGTTTCCCCATTTGTAAAAACAACGTGGTCTTGATTACCATTCACATCTTCACAGTAAATTTTAACGTTTTTAATGCAAGATCCAGAAGAACACTCCACTGTCTATTTCGGAAAATAAAATTAATAACTGTTCACAATAATGAATATTGTAACTTACTTTTAATGTAACCCTAACTAATACAGATGATTCACTGAGTGAACTCTCGAACAATGTGTATTCGCAGTTTCCTTTGAAAGAATAAACTAATTCGTCGAAAGTTCTTACATGCACATTGCTCCAAACACTACATTTTTCCCAGTACTCTGATAGTGTATTACAATCCCATCCACCGTTTTTGCAAACACTAATTAAAATAAAAATTACACTAAAGAAATTTCCTTTTTTTAATCTTACCATGTTCTTTGTCTTTCATTGCGTTCAAAATTTTCAGGATAACTAACTCCGTTGTGCAAACACGGACAATCACTTGGTTTAACGCATTGATTGGATTCTGTATCAAGTACATATCCTTCCATACATTGACAACCGCTTTCACAGTTATCATAATTTGGTTTACTGTTAAGGTGTTTATTCTAAAGTAAATATTGTATTAGAAAAAATGTATTAATAAAATAAAACAACTTTTATACCTGGCATGTTAGAACATTAACTCGTTTACATCCTGAGTAAACATAAAATTTGTTTGCGTCACATTTCGTTTTTAAATCATCTGGTGTGGGATCTTTCCCCTTATCCTCAGGAGTAGCTGTAGTGATAATCCATGTCGCATCAGTACAAGTCCTAAAATAAATCGAAGTTATAACCAAAACTTGAATTTAATATTAATTTATTTTTACCATTTATCATCGCCATTTATAAATGAAAAACCTGGAGGATATCTTTCGTTCCCCCACTTACATGGACATCTACTTATGGGGATACACCGGTTATTTCCGTCTAAAGTTTGACCATTTGGACAATTACAACCATCGACACATTGACGTTGGCAAGTTGGATTTGCTGCTATATCTTCACAGCTACGAGTACAAGAATTTCCACACACTTGATAACTTTGGTCGGATGGACACTTAATGGAACATTCGGTTACATTTTTACGCCAATCGACGTATTTTCCTTTAGCCGCACACTTATTTCCTTGAGATGAATAAAATTCACAAACACAAGTGGATTGCTAAAAAAAGAAATTGAATTGCTGGATTAAATTAATTGTAAATTTAACATACTTCATTTGTGCATTGGCAGTTATCGTATAGACAGTTTTCATAAACTTCGTTCACATTTTCGAGACAATCTAGAATTATAATCATTTTTATATGAATTTTGTAAAAGAATTTTCTAATAAAATACATACCTGCGAATAAATCACTTTTAAGTGCTGCACAACTTTTTTCTGCTTGAACCCTTTTATCTGGGTTGATGCTACATGGATGATGCACTGGCCCTGTGTATTCACCTTCGCAACTACCTGGTACTTTCCAAGAATTTCCAAAGATATTTGGATCATTTGTAACTATACCATTTGGCATTAAGAAATCGTCATCTTGAGTTTTAGTGTATGTTCCCAAAAGACCCTAGATACAAGAAGATTTCAACTCTATATATTAAAATGAAGACTTTTGGAAAATATTGAAAATATAGTATGTAGCATAATCATGGATTGATAGTAAAAGACAAGATAGGAATTGTGTTAAGAAGTAAATGCCTAAACTAAAATTGAAAACTGAACTAAAATTTTTGATAATAAAATGCAGACATTAATTTAAAAGTTATAGGCGATAACTTCTCAAAAGTGATGAAAAACATCGAAAAAAGGCCCGATTTTGTGGTGATAGCTGGGGTCTCCCCACCACCAGACATTACTTTTAGAAAGTGTCTGAACAAATTATGCAAATTCAAATTTTAATAAAACGATCGAATCCAAACAACTGACATATTAAAAAAAAGTTGCCAAGAAATGCAATCATCATGTTAGTATACTTTTTTAATGCCTGCTTGAGACTGAAGTATGCTCGCGATGTTTTAAGATAGCACAGATAATGCTCAAAAATCTGAAAACGCGGCTGAGCAAGTTTGATCAATTGTATGAAAAATTACCAACTTTGCAGTTTGGATTTCGTAATCGCCATTCTATAATAGATCAAGAGTATTGAGTAACCTTTATTAAGAGACTACTCAGACGATTGGTTTGAATAGCTAAAATATTGTTCTGCAATTTTCTGGATGTTTCTCAGGTATTTGATAGGATCAATCAACTACTGAAATCATATCTTTCTGATAGAAAGTTTAGACTATCACATGAAGGGGGATACTTAACATTCAAGTGTTTGATTGGAGATATATTTAAAACTCCTAATTCTTTAAATGTAAACCATTCAGCTATTCTTAATCATATCAAAAAATTTAAAGAAAAAGTCGAAGACAACAATTTGATTTTAACAGTAGGAGACAAGGGCGCGGGCACGGTCATTTTAGATAAAATGACTTACATTGATAAAACTCTAGACTTCTTCATGGACAACAGCATCATCGAAATCAAAAATAATCCCACCAATGCCTTTAGTAACAAACTTAGAAAATACATAAGAGAAAATTCAACTTTCTTGTCTAAATTCAACATTAATTCATATAACGCTCTAGAAATGAACCCACTCATTCCTTCTTTGAAAAGTCTGATTAAATTGCATAAACCTGAAAAAAGCATAAGACCAATTATTAGTAATCATAACACTCCAACCAATAAAATTTCAAAACTAATTCAAAATTTCCTTTATAAACTTTTTCACAACAGCTTCACACACACAATCAAAAACTCTACTGATCTAATAAATAAACTAAAGACCTTCAAAATTAAAAACCTTAGTAAACTAGTTTCCTTCGACATAAAAAATTTATACTCTAACGTTCCAATCGATAAAACATTATCTATCATCACAAAATACTTGATCAGTTCACAAGATATCAATAATTTAAACATATTAGAAATTAATAGTTTCATTGGTCTTTTGGAGATTGTATGTAGTCAGAACTTTTTTACCTTTAATAATAGATTTTACAAAATGAAGGACGGTTTGCCTATGGGAAAGAATGCCTTAATGAATTTGAAAAAGAACTATTTTCAGATAAAAATCATTTTTTCAATAAGGATATTGTTTTCTATGCCAGATACGTAGATGATATCCTTGTTGTCTATGAAGAAAGTCATGCTAAACTTGGTGGTCTTTTCAATCTGATAAACAGCATTTGCAATTTAGAATTCACCCTCGAAAAAGAAAATAATTACAAAATAAATTTCCTAGATTTAGAGTTAACTAGAAACATTAAAGAAAGTATTATCAACTTCAATATATTTAGAAAACCCACTACCACAGATTGTATTATACCAAAAAGTTCCTATTCTTGTGATCAACATAAATTTGCAAGTTTTCGCTTCTTTTTCAATAGAATTTAAAGGAACGTTATATCCTTTAAATAATGATAACCTCAACCTTGAAATAAAAAAGATTGTAAAAATAGGACTCAATAATGGTTTTTCTATAAAAGATTTACAAAACATTTACTATAAAGTGCACAACTCACAAATCACTAAATTAATCTATCCTCACACTAAGTCCAAAACCAAATATATTGCCTTACCTTACCACCCATCTATTGTTAACCCCCTTAAACAAAATTTGTTGAAATTTGGCCTTGCCCCTGCCTTTGTCTCTCAAAACAAAATTCATATACACCTTTTTAATAATAAACATCAATTTAACAAAGAGGAGCTGAGTGGTATTTATGAAATCAAATGTCCTGATTACGATAAAATTTATATTGGTCAGACTGGACGCAGCATTAAAAAAGGTTTCAAAGAACACCTAAGCAAACCCTCTTCTGCAGTTTTCAAACACATCAACAAACATAAACATAAAATAGAATTCAACAATGTTAAATTACTTCTAAACGTGGGGAAATCGAGAGAAATGGACCTTCTCGAAGAGTTGCATATTAATTTAAACAATTACAATAACAAACTTTTAAATGACACAACAGAACTTAATAATACCCGCCAATTTTTAAAATTCATTTAATATTAACCTCTCCCCTCCACAGCCTTTTTGCTTTTCCGGCGCAAGACTTTTTAGCAAATTTTATGTCCTTCAGTCCACCTCAAGTTTCTTCACGTCGCGGATGGACTCGTAAGAATAAAACTTTAATTTTCACGATAATTTTTATAAATTTTTTGTATGTCATGCAACTCTTATTTTAATTAATTTTTTCAAATTTACTAAATAAACTTTCCCCTTTCAGATTTCAAACAATTCAATTAATTTCAATTTCTTAAAAACCAGTTTTTTTTTAACGATGAAGAGTAAGTGGCCATTTTTCTCGATTCCTTTAACATAACACGTGTCTCTATCTTGTTTTAGAATATTTGTAACCAACTAACTTGCCCTTAAGGCCTTTAAAAAACTTGTTAACGCCTTTTATCTCGTCCAATCACCTATAAAATTTCACCACGTTGTCAGATGTTCAATTTTGTGCTCCATAAGTAATTGACGGTAACTAAACAAATTAAAAAATATGTATAACAAATTTCTTACTTCAATTTTATGTTTTTTAGTCGTGCCTGATGAAGAGATTTTGAATCTCGAAACATGTTGCACTGATCTTATATTAAGAATAAATAATTTTTCATCGTTCCCAAGCTTTTATTTATCACTTACAACCCACGATGAACATTGAGTCAACTATCACCAAACTTAACATTCAAACCAATCTTGACTGAACATGGACAATTCCATTACCTACTGCATACCATAGATGTCAAAAATTCAAAAGATGCTGTACATGAAACTTTCGTTAATAATATAGTTATTATGGTAAAAGACTCAACTCAAATGTAGAAACTTTAAGTGGCATTTGGTTGTATTATTAAAAATTCTTTATAAATCGATTTGTTTTTAATTACCTTTACTTGCCCTATCATAGTTACAGGAATCCGAACTGTAACATATGAGTTGCCATTCCAAAGAACCACAACGGAATTTTTCAAGGAAACTAAAAAAGAAAAGATAGCTAAATAGAGAAATATAAGTAATATCATAAACATACCAGTTATTTGTTCACTGCTCGTTTGAATAACACTGAAATCTTGACTTACGTAAGGTAACCAATCAAGTTTTTGTCCATCTACAACAACATTAAGTTTTTGTTCTAATTCAATATTATGTCCTTGAGTTATTATAAAAACTTTTGCGCAAGATGACGGTGCCGTTGATTTAACATCTTTCTGTAATTAATTACGCAATGTATTTATTAAAAATGAAATTAATTAAAATCTTGTTTATTTTAAAAAGATATTTTACGCACAATATAAGCTCCATTCCATATGTAATTATCGCATATAACATCAAATCCATTTCCCCGGACTAAATAATACATACATTTCCCCATGAAATCGTAATATTTACCATCAAAAGTGGTGCAGTGGGGATCACCCATACAATGACCTTCCACTGTTGCAGTAGTCTAAAAAAACAAGTATATTAAATTATAAATTAAATAAAAATGCTTAAGTTATATGTATTACCTGAGATCCACATTGATCTTTAGGTACGCATTGTGTGTATGTTGAGTCTTTATAAATTGAATTAAATGGGCAAGGTGGAACATTGCAAGCTTCTGAACATAATCTGTCTGGACAATTACTATCTTTTTCGCAAGTATCCTTGGGGCAAGGTGTTTCACATGGATAATATGCTTTGTTAGGCTTACAATTATAAGCTATATTAGAACAAAATTTAATTATAAATTAATATAATATATAAAAATGATAAAATTCAATTAACTCACGACAAATATCGTTTGTCCTCCACTGGACGGGTTCATTAACATCATTACATTCTTGGGCATAGGCCGATAATGTTTGACAATAATAATTATAGCGTTGATTTTCTGGTATAAGCAATTGTAAACTAGCATCAATTAAGCATCTATTATAGTATTCATTAACGGATGTTAGGTAACGACATGTTTTAAAAACATTACTATATAAAATTTCGCATGGGTTATCTTTAGGCATTAAATTTACTTCTTTTAATTGAGTACAACCAGGACATGATTTATCAACTCTATAATAATCTACCAACTGCGTAACACCATTTTGATTGTTTGGAGTTGTCAAATCATTATTGGGATTATCATCGTATTTTCCACATAACCCAACATGATTCTAAAATGTTTATTTTTATTTAATGTGAAAAAGAAAGCGAATTATACATACCCATGTAACCCAAACTCTAGAAACATGTACGTGCAACCAACCTCCTTTATTCCAAACAACTCTTATTCCCATTCCAATAACATCAACCATAACAGAAAGATCTAAATCTGTAATAACAAGATTCGCTAACAAACCAGGTCGAACGAATTCTTGACCAGCTACAAATGTTACAATATCTTCACGACCAGTTGCATCTTTGTAATAAATTTTAGCACTCTTAATACATGAACCAACATTACATTGTCCCGTCTAAAATCGGTATGATAGTAATAGTATTATCTAAGATTACTAAAAGATAAATTAACATACCGTTACTGTAACTCTAAATACTCCACCAGTTGGAAGTGAATGTTCGAAAAGTGTATATTCGCAGTTTCCTTTAAAAGAATAGACTGTTTCGTCAAAAGTCCTGATGTGAACGTTATTCCAAATGCTACATTTTTCCCAATGATCTGCTGATGGATTACAAGCCCAAAATCCATCTTTGCAAACACTAAAATAAAGATTAGGTAAATTATTAGAAGTAGTAGATCTAATTAACGCTTTGTAAAAAGGAATAAATTATAACAAATCATTACCAGGTTTGATTTCTATCATTTCTTGTTGTTTTATCCGCATAACTAATTCCTTTATACATGCACGGACAATCTTCGGGTCTAACGCAAGTATTTAATTCTTCATCAAAAACAAATCCTTCGGAACATTGACATCCACTTTGGCAATTATTATAATTTGGATCCTCATTGAGATGTTTATTCTAAAAATAAAATAATTTAGTCAACTCAGAAATAATTATTAAATTAATAAATTCTCAAATTGATTTATGTCCGAAAATATGCCATTAAGGTTTTGTATGCATCATACAGTTGATGGTATAAAGATTACATGGAGTGAAGAATGCCAATATCCATCTTATCAATTAACTCCACATAATTATTGAGCAGAGCGCGGAATGGCAGAGTATGAAATTCGAAAATGAAACTCGAAATGAAATGGGTCTGCCAAGTAACTTAATCGGAGTGAAGCATGAAAATATACTGCTGTGATATTCAAACGCTGAGGCCATTCAGCTCCTGGACAAAACTAATTTAGTTTAAGTGCACTCTTTTTTCTTGCACATATTTTCGGATTGAGAAAGTAATTAAATTTGTTATTACCAGACAAGTCACAGTGTTCACTCGTTTACAGCCTGTATAAGTCATAAAATCATCCGCATTACATTGTTTCTTTAGGTCATTTAAGTCCGGGTATTTCGATTTATCATCTGGAGTAGTTGTTATTATATTCCATTTACCATTAGAGCAAGTGCTAAAAAAATTTCATATTTACAAAAATATTTTGAATGAAATTATTGATAATGAATTACCATTTATTTTCGCCGGTTATAAAAGTCGTTTCAGGATTGTATCTTCCATCCTCCCAAACACAAGTACACTTATTGATTGGGATACATTGATTTTTTTCATTCAACGTTTGTCCTTCTGGACAATTACAACCTTCAACGCAAGACGACTCGCATGTTGGATTGGCGCCGATATCATCGCAGCTTCGAGTGCAAGAATTCCCACATGTTTGGTACGTTTGCCCTGCGGGACATTGAACTTGGCATTGAGTGATTGTTTTTCGCCAATCCACCGGTTTGCCTTTCGCAGCACATTTCGCTGCTTGTAACGCGTAGAAATTGCAAACGCAAGTTTTTACCTATAATTTTATAGAGAATGTAAGATATATAAGATTAAGTTAATTAAATTAAAATGATTACTTTATCGACGCATTCGCAGCCATCATAAATGCAATTTTCGTAATTTGTCTCAATATCTTCAAGACAATCTGCGAATAGATTACTTTTTAATGGAGCACAAGCTTGTTCAGCTTTCTCGCGATTTTCTGGATTTATGCTACATGGATGATATACTGGTCCTGTATATTCATTTGCACAGCTTCCGGGGACTTTCCAAGAATGACCAAACAAATTCGGATCAGTTGTAAGAGAACCATTAGCCATTAGGAAATCATCATCTTGCGATTTTGTGTAAGTTCCAAATAATCCGCTCACTCTTCCTATCATTGTGGTAGGTATTTTAACGAGGAGCCAAGAATCACCATTAAAATTAACATCAACGTTATTTCTTAATGAAACTAAAAATTTTAAAATTAATGATTAAAATTAAATATGATATAAAAACTATAATATTTAGTACCTGAGACTAATTGACTACTCGGTTCGGTAATTCGGAATAATGGAGAATTAAAGGGTAATCGTTCAAGTCTGAAACCATTTAATTTTACTTTGCGACCCTGTTCCAATTCAATGATGTCGTCTCTTAGTTGTACAATAACTTTTGCGCAATATGATGGTATAGAGGATTTTTCATCTTTCTACATAAAAAATAAATTATTTTGTTGGCATAATCGAGTTTACTACAATTTATTGAAAAAGATGATATACTTACAACAAATGCTCCATTCCATATATAATGATCACAAATAACATCAAATCCATTTCCTCGCACCACATAATACATACATTTTCCCATGAAGTCGAATTTTTTACCATCAAAAGTCGTGTAATGTGGATCAGCATAGCAACCGGCTTCAACTTGACAGATTTTCTAAAAATGAAACTTTGCTAAAAACTATACCACATTCAAAAAACTTGCTGTTTACAGTTGTACACATCCATTGTCCTTTTGTACAAGTGCACGTATTGCATTCTTGAGCTATTGATGTTCCAGGTTTGTATGCTACGTTGTTGTAGTAACAATCACACTCTTCGACAAATAGGCATCTATCCTCCTGTAAACGTAATCCATTAGGACAATAACAGCCTTCCTCGCAATCCAAATTTGAAGTATCTGTTTCTATTTCATTGCACGATAATTGCCGTTTATTAGGAGCGCAAGTCATGTATTGTTGTTCTTGATTTCTACAGTTAATTGCTATAAAATAATTATTATGGTTACACTACTTAAAAAAAAATAAATAAAACAACTTACGACAAAGTGTTGAACTTCTCCAATCAATTATATCGTTAGTTTTAATTTGACAGCTTCTAGCGTAGACGTCTAGCATATCACACATGCAATCATTTCTATTTGCCAATTTACAACTGCAATAATTTGATGTACAAATATTCATAAATTGGGAGTTGAATGCCTAAAAAATAATCACAATAAAAATTATTTTTTATATCACAAATTTGAAATTAATATATTACACTGCATTTTGTAAATTTCTGATTGCTAAATAGATTATTACAAAAATTTTGGGCTTGTGCGTAAAAACGACCATTAGTTCCACAACTATTAAGATAATTTCCAGATCTACATCCACCTTAAACATAAATTAAAAAAGAAGAAACAATAAAAATTGTATATGCGTGTAGAAGTCAAGAATTCAACCAACGTGATATCGAGAATAAAAATTAAATTGAGAAAGACAACAGTTGAATTCTTGACTATTTCTAAATTAATGATTACCTAAGATATGATCTTTTTTACCTCCGAATAAGTTAATGATGCAGTTTAAAATACCGTTGCAACGAGATGAAAATGATTTGGATTTTGTCGTAACTATTTTAATAATTTTTTTAATGGTTGTATGTATGTTTTAATAGTTTTGTTGATTAACAACAAAAAGTCTTACCTATACTCCAGCTATCAGCAAATTGAAGATTATTTCCAGCAATTCCACCATTCTTCATTACCATATCATTTCCACTGCATCCATCATTATTTCCGCACATTCCCAACATTGCACGGTCGTTAAATTGATTGCGTTGAATAACTTCTGCAGTCTGCAACATAAAAATTTTTGCGTCAATTTAAAATAACGATTTGCTATGAGCTCAAAATCATGAATCTGTCGGAGAATAACTTAAAGCAATATTAAAACGATGTTGCCAAAACTAAAGTTACCTATCGCTTTTTTTATGTGGATTAAAACGTGTTAAATGTGCAACATTATATCACTTTGTGAAAATTTTATGTGCAATCTGGGTTACAGTTGACAAACAGTTCTATTTATTAAGATAGGTGGATAACACAATCGCTATCAACTAGAACTATTAGTACTTGGATGATATTAATCGTCACCTTAGAACCTCAGTCGCAAAATAAATCAATGTAAAGTGTAAGATACTGAAAAGTGAATAATTAGGAATGTACCTATAAGTGATCATAAAATATATAAATTAACCGTAACGGGAAACGCGTAATTGCAAATTGATTTATTGATAGAGCGAAATATTACATTAAAAGTGCGAACTTGACTTATAACGTACATATATTTCGAAATGAGAAGCTTAAAATAAAAGGACCTATCATTTTATTTTAAGCTCAGTTCTAACTGAGGAGCTCCATTAGATACAGATAAGCAACAGGATGTTATGTAAATGAGATAAAAGAAAAGAAGGAGAAACAGAACATTGACCTTTAGGGCATCACATTTCGAAACTACTACACACATTAAAAACTGGTTATCTCGATGGACAGGTTAGAAACGGAGAACACGTTGCATTTTTCCCTTTTAACACATTGAAAGTTGCTTGACCACAGGGTGGGTTAAATTAGATTTTACTGAGATAATATGTACACCGAACCAAAAATGTACATTAATACAATGAAAAGCTACATTGAGACAATGAATTGAGTTATGGATTTTCAGCCGATGAACCAATTCATTGTCTCAATGAAGAGTGTTACATTAATTATATGAAATCGATTTTAATTGTTTAATGAACAATTTTAATTGTTTAATGAACAATATTTATTATTTAATGAAAATTTGTCATTGTTTAATGAACATAATTTTAATGAACAATTTTAATTGTTTAATGAACAATATTTATTATTTAATGAAAATTTGTCATTGTTTAATGAACATAATTCATTGACGTTTTTCATTAATTTTATATTTTTCTTTATTCAACGTAATGAAATTGAAAATGTAGTTTCAAGACTGCATCTATACGAGTCACAAAAAAACGCTACTCGATAGTGATAGTTTTTGACAAGGTATAATTTTGTGTGAAATCAGCAGTTTATTGCTCTAATGATTACAAAATTTGGAAAAAATAAATCTACATAAAAGTTACAGTTACATAAAAGCTACAGTCTCTTTTATTCCATTACACTCATCAAATAATTGTTAAAAATTTGTACCTTAGGGTACTTGCATGCCGTATTGAGATTAATAAAATAAAATTCTAAAAAACTACAGAACACTCCTGAAGGAGTATTCTGTAGTTCTTTGGTTTTTCGAAGATGTTGTATCCGGTCTTCTACTTTACTAACAATAAGACTACCACCAACAAATATTACTGCTTCCTGCGAATCTTTGATGGTGTATCTAGTGGTTGACTTTTTTTACAGTAATACTACTGCATTTAAAATTGTCAATTACACATTATATTATTATAATGATTATATATCAGTAAATAAATTATGTTGATTTTGAAAGAGGTTTCAATTTGAAGAAAGAATTAGGACTTACAAGCTTTTCTGAAGGGAATCTTTCAGAAATTCTTCTTTCTGTATGTTTTCATTAGTGGTGGCACTAAATTTTTTTTTCAAGTTGAACACATGGCAAAGTTGATGCAATATTAAAGTTTTTAGTTTGATCTGTTGATATTTCGTTAAAACTATCATTTGATATTAAGGAGTTTATAGAAGATGCATTCGTAGAATAATAAACCCGAATGACATGTCTTTTAAAAGAAGCTAAATTTTGACTACATTCCAGACATCTGAATGTGGAATTTGAGTTTCGATTATGTAAACGTTTGAAATGGTTACTTAGAGATTGAAAATTTCCATGGTCATTTTTACAAATAAAGCATAACATGTTTGTTAATTTGAAAACGTTGTTTTGTACCTAATTTCAATTAAAAAAACAATATTTTGCAATTAGTTCAATAGGTAAAGCTACCTATAAACCACTACAAGCTGAAAAAAAAAACACAGTTGATAACAAAACGAAAAGCGAATAGCTATCTAACAGCTATTTTTGTCTTACCTGTAGATTCTCTATATTTTTGGAAAAATATACACTTCACTCAACTGATCACTGTTAAAGATGCGACAATGCGACGAGTTAACTTGATCTATGGTTATAATATGTTATAGATAGCGTCTGACGATAAAGAAATCGCTGACTTAAATTCGTGGAATACGGCGGTGTAGGTTTGTGATTGATGAATTTTATGCACTGATATAAAGAATAATATTCTTAGCAGTTCAAATCATTGCATTGATGAAACTTCTTCTTTAATACAATGAAGTATTTACATTATCTCAATGACTAATAGTCGTTAATACCATGTAAAGATTGATGAACACCTTCACTGTAATCACAAAAAACTTCTTTGAGCCAATGAATGGTCTTCATTACTATAATGATTATATTTCATTGTGCTAATGAATATGCGTTCATAATATTGATAAACAGCGTTTTTAGTCTATGAACAAATCTTCATTATGTCAACGAAAACCTTCATTGAGACAATGAAAATCAGTCAACAACCACTGCTCATTGATATTATGAGCAACATTTTTTTCAGTGTAACGTTAACGTGACCAATTGAGTAGTAAAAGAACATTTGTTAGGTACATAGAAGTACTAGAAGTAGCGATAGACTAATATATTAACTATCCGCGAAGGTAAGTATTTGTTATTGATAATTTATAAGGTATTTGCGCAAATTTACGGAGCTGCGTTGACCAGGTACTCTCGTTTTCAATTTATATTAAATCAGGATTCCAAAGAAAGCTCAAAATTCGACATTTTATTGAGAGTTCTAAATCAACAGCTCGCCTGCTAAATAATATAAATGACAAAAATTCCAATTCCTTGTCATGGAGTCTATGTGAGTTCGCCAAAAAAACTCAAGAACGGTTTGGTACAAAGGTCGGTGCTTGCACCGTTCTTCTTTAACTATACAGAGTGTCCCGCAACGATTGTACAAAACTGCATCAGCGTATTCTATGATCAAAAATAAACAAAAAAAGCCTAATAAACATAGGTCCGAAAATGGACCATTTNACCAATCCAGTAGTAAAAGAACATTTGTTAGGTACATAGAAGTACTAGAAGTAGCGATAGACTAATATATTAACTATCCGCGAAGGTAAGTATTTGTTATTGATAATTTATAAGGTATTTGCGCAAATTTACGGAGCTGCGTTGACCAGGTACTCTCGCTTTCAATTTATATTGAATCAGGATTCCAAAGAATGCTGAAAATTCGACATTTTATTGAGAGTTCTAAATCAACAGCTCGCCTGCTAAATAATATGAATGACAAAAATTCCTATGTGTAAAGTCCTATGTGAGTTCGCCAAAAAAACTCAAGAACGGTTTGGCACAAAGATCGGTGCTTGCACCGTTCTTTTTTAAAAATATATTGCAGATATGCCAGAAAAATGATCTAAAAAGTACGGCTACGCCAATGCCTAGACTTTTGCAATAAGATGTAGATCATTCCAAGAATCAGAGCCATTATATAAATTTTTGGCTCAAATTTGATCGCTCATAGCTCGAAAACAAAAGAATGATTATATTAACAACTTGTGTTGTTTTGGCAGGTACTACGTTCTAGTAAAGTTTGTCGATTAAAATCTGAACCATCCTGTATTATCAAGCCAAAGTAGTTTTTCCTAATATAAACTAGTTGAAATCAACACGTGTTGAACAAACTGGTTTAGACTAGGAAAAATTAGGTTAGCCTGAAATACTAACACATATCCACTATAATAACAAAATACAATGGCGAAAATTAGAACAGACCTGATTATGAGTTACTGAACTACTAATATCTAACTACTAATAACACGCAATTTTAAACTGCATTGAGTCATTTATATCCTCAGCTCGTTTCCGACACCCTTGAAAATATAGAGAAAAACTTAACGTAGTACTAAGAAAAGCAGCACCATTTAATAGATAAAAAGNATGTTTACCGTAGGTCAGCTTATGAAACTAAAACTTTGAATATCTCGAAATTGGTCCATTTGCGGACCTATGTTTATTAGACTTTTCTTGTCTGTTTTCGATCAGAGAATACGCTGATGCAGTATTGTACAATCGTTGCGGGACACCCTGTATATTGCAGATATGCCAGAAAAATGATCTAAAAAGTAGGGCTACGCCAATGGCTAGACTTTTGCAATAAAATTTTTGGATCAAATTTGATCGCTCATAGTTCGAAAACAAAAGAATGATTATATTAACAACTTGTGTTGTTTTGACAGGTATTAAGTTCTAGTAAAGTTTCTCGATTAAAATCTTAACCACCCTGTATTATCAAGCCAAAGTAGTTTTTCCTAATATAATCTAGTTGAAATCAACACGTGTTGAACAAACTGGTTTGGAAAAATTAGGTTAGCCTGAAATACTAACACATATCCACTATAATAACAAAATACAATGGTGAAGATTAGAACAGATCTGATTATGAGTTGTTGGCCCATGGTCCATGCCGGCAAATAGAAATTGAACCGTTCAGATAAAATTTTACATGACATCATGTTCAACTGTAATGTAAATAATTACTAATAACACGCGATTTTAAACTGCATTGATTCATTTATATCCTCAGCTCGTTTCCGACACCCTTGAAAATATAGAGAAAAACTTAACGTAGTACTAAGAAAAGCAGCACCATTTAATCGATAAAAAGAAAAGTAGTAGAACACAAGTTTGAAAATATGGAATCTGATATTGGCGAAAAACAGCAATGTTCTTGAAGCACTTACTATTGGGACATAATAATTTTATGGCACCACTAATTTACAAATCTAACCATATGTTGAGAAATATACTAAAATATACTATGTCAAATAAAATATTATTACCCTTCCATCGTATCGTATTTTTAATCCCAAATCTTTAATTTCCACAATAACCATAGCTCCTGGTTTACTAATGGACACTCCAGACAAATCATGAGGAATACTTTGTACATTTCCATCTCTTTTAAGTTCAATTGCTGCACCTAAAAAATTAATAGGAATTTTAATTTCTGAAATTCTTTTGAAATTTGTGACACAAATTGAGGTTTAAATTATGAATGTTCTTAGTGTCATGTTGAGATCAATTGTTTTTGATTAAAAATTTTATTTATTACCTGCAACTTTAACATCGTAGACATGCTCGGCATACTTTACTTGTAAAGTTTGTACATTTTGAAGAAGATTTATTTCCAAATTGATTCCTTTTGAATTGATCGAAACAAGAGTGTACCCACACTTTGAATCATAACTCAAAAGTGATCCATCAAAGTTTTTTAAGTGCAAACTATCATAAACTACACAGTTGGTAGTAGGCTAAAATCAACAATATTTATATTAATATATTTAATAATTTTAAATCTTTATTTTTTTGCCAAAAAATACTTACATCTCGATTACATTGAGATTGGGATTCAACACCAAAAAATATTAGTATTACAAGGAACAGATAAATATTCGGTATCATTTTGGGGAATGGTGTCTCTTCGAAAAACAAGCTTTTATATATAGGTACTAATCGTGGGAAGGCTGAAACATAAATTAAACAGGATGGAATCTGGTTTCAGAGAGGAATGAACTTTGATGGTACAAATAAATTCCCTCATGTGTGGTTAAAGCTTCTTTAATCCGTAAAAGGCTTTAACGTCCCATATATATTTACGGGTTGTTTATAATTGAAAAATGTAACGAGATATATTTACATAGTACCATAGCTTCTTTTTTGAACATTTACCACGAATTACACGGGAATGCAAACAAGTTAATAAATTCATAAAGAGGGAATTTTAAAACATTTTTTAATTTTAATTAGCAATATATATTCCAGAATTGGAAGATTTATGCTACCGATGAGACGATTCACGGCCACAAGTTATTTTAATTAAAACACAAAAAAATATACTGTTTGTAGTTTATTTTCTTTATATATAATTTATACTTTTTCCATTATTTAGCTTATTTAATTATTTTTCCATTATACAGGAAAACATGACAATTTCTGCACATATTTTTTATCCTACATTGCTCGTATTTTTCATCTTCATATATCATATTTGCTGTATATTCCAATATATTCCGCAAATTTGTACTAAAATAAAAATATATTTATATTAATACACTCTTATACCTAAGCAGGAATAAAGCTTGCTAATTTGCATCGCTTTAACATTTTTAGCAATGTTCTTTTACTATACCACAGCTTTTGGAGATTTCATTGAAATTAATACAAATTTTTCGAGTGGTATTACATAAACATTCTACAATAACAAATTTTTATAAAACAGTTTCTATGTTAATTTGGATTGTGTAAAAAATACATTGACTCGAGATTTCTCAGTTAGTGTAATCGGAGGTTCGGTCAAGGTTAAAAGTGTGTCCACGGGTCAAGTGCAATGATCTTCAAAAACGAGAAGTATCTAAACTTGTAAAAAGAGAAAGCGCATTTCCGATCTGTTTTTAAATGGTTATACACGTTAATGAATTAAATATCGATACTGAATAATCAAGATGTATGATTTCGTACTTGTTTGCTTTTAATAGCTTTGTAATTATGTACCACATGATTATGAAAAATCAAAAGTTTAAAAAGGCAGTATCCTACTAAGTTTAATTCAAACAACTTTTACGCCTAAAACTATCACATAGATGAAAATTGATAAACGCGTATCTTAATTTTTACTAATTTAATGCCTTCGTAACTAAAATTTTCTCTCTTAAATGCAATATTTGTTAAATGCAATTTAAAAATCGCGTTTAAAAGTAGCTAATAACGCCGACATCGACAATCTCGACGATGAGTACTTCTGGATAATTAGCGACAAATATGTTTCCATCGATAAGCAAATCTTACTTTATACAGGAAGATGTGTCAAAAAGCAACTGCTAAAAGGTAAGACAAATCTGAAATGGATAAAAACATTTGTCGCAGCGTTATATAATGATTTAAAAGGCGTTAGTGGAAAATCCTATCTAATCAAACGCTAAAGATCCTAATATGGCTAAAAACTTTTGGAAATAGTGAGAAATGGTGTAAAATTGAAGAAAATGAAAAAATTCGCTAAAATTTACATTAACCAAATATTGGTTGTTCTAAGTAATATTGTTCTAAAGTAAATATTAAATGAATACGAATACTCATAAAAAAATTATTACTAATTTGTATATTTTCCTTCAGTACTACCTAGTTATTATTTTATTGCTATTATTGTAATATTTAATTCAAGTAACTGTAGAACAAGTATGTATATGCGAAAGAAAGGCAACAAACAGCTTTCACATACAATGTTATAACAATTAAAACTACTCCAACAGCTAGCCACTTCTAATCATATATGTTGTTACGGTTGTATTTTTCCTTAATGTTTTATTTGTGTGTTTAACCTTTACTTTCCCAATTCTTTGTTTTAATTTTATTTTGGGTTAGATATTTTATTTTGTTATCGAGTATTTTGAGTTGCATAAATTTCGCGATGATTTATTTTGTTTACTTTTTGTTTATTTTGTTGAATTTTTGTTTAATTAATTTTTCTTTTTCAGCGACAATTCTCCGAAGATCTCCTTTCATGATTTTACTTTTTTCCTTTTCAATTTATTTTCCCCTAAACTTATTTTACTTCTTCGTTTCCCCTAAAAGATGGTGTTAATTCTTTCGTTATTCTTGCTTGTGCGCAAGTATCTATTTTTTGTGAATTTTTGAGGATATTTATCGTCTGTGTAAGATTTTCACTTCCTCTTTTCATGTCAGATCAGTACGTGTACGCACGTAGAATTAGGATTTTTGGTAAAGCCATTTTGAATTTTTCGCGTGGTGATTGGTTCCTAATCCAAATTTTTGGGATTCATCTACGTGTTGTGCAATTTATTGGTAACGTTTTTGAACGTCCAATTATCGGATTATTTCGGATTAAACCGTATTTTGAAACTTTTCTACGTTTTTCTGACTAAACCTCGAAGATCTGAGGTAAGATATTTTTATTAAATATATTTTATATTTTCCCTTACACATTCATACATTCATTTATTCAAACATACATCCTTTTACCACCAAATTAATTAAACTATTATCATCATTTTTTTTTTATATCTTATTTTTCCATCCTTTTTACTCTTTTTTTTTATATATATTTTTTTTTCTTTTCTAATTTCCTCGTGTTCATTTAAGGTTTTAATTGAAGAGCATACATTTTGGCAACCTTTCTGTAACATTTTCGAAACAGAAGTTTGGTTATTTTGTGAGATTTTCAATCTATTTTCGAAGTTCTACCTTTTCGGGGGAGTTCTTCCTTGAGGATTTTGGTCGAAGTTGCATTACCACTACCCAATAAGTTTTCCTTTCCCTGAATCGAAGGAGATTGTCGCTGGAGCTGGAAGAATTTGCTTGGATCGTCTACACGTGGTCAAGACAAGGTCAGACCTAAACGTTTGTTTTATATACCGCTTCCCGGTGAACTTTTGTTCAATTAAGTACAATTTAAATTAAATTCATTAAATCTTAAATCAAATAAATTAATTAAATATATTTTATATATATCATAAAATTATCATAAATTGAAAATATTCAGTATTTTGTTGTCAGTTAAATCAAACAAAATAATTTTTTTTATTTTTCTTTGTAAAATTTTGGTGTACATTTTTTTTATTTCACGAATTAGTTTTTATTTTCTTTCTCGACGCCACACTATGGAAAATTTAGTCCGTTTGCTGATCAAAAATCAATAACTTTTTTATTTTTAAAGATAAACCTTTCAAACTTGGTAAGAATATTCTACATTACAAGAAGTAAGAGTACCAATTTTCTTTTTATTATTTATTATTATTTTTATTTCCTCCTATATACGAACTATATGAAGACAACTTCTGTCCCAAACTACCGTTTCGAGGTTGTGATGAATCTTTACATTTGATGGTCCTAGAACCTATTTTGACCATTTTAGCATTACATCTGTACATATGTATCTGTTAGTATATAGTATGTATTATATACGTGCGTTCGTAAACACGATAACTCAAAGACGCAATTATCTACTTCCATGAAATTTGGTATGCGGCTATTAAATTAAGACTGTTGATCTCTACCAACTTTTGGAACAAATCTGTCGACCGGAAGTAGCAGTTTACTTTAACAGATTTAGAAATAGTTAAAAAATTTTGTAGAAATCTGAATAAGAATAAGTAACTTTCAGATACAAAATTTCTACCATCTCACATAACCGGAAGTAGTACTTTACCTGAACCTGTACTCATTTGTTTCATATAAGCTGGTACTAAGTAAAATAAATTATTAAAATTTTTTATAAGCCTTTATATCTGAAAAATATATAGATAAAAAATTACATTGAAATCATGAAACCGGAAGTAGTATTTTACTTAACAAATCACTTATTAATCATTTTATTAATTTTTTTATGAATATTATTGATATTACAGAGTAATATTATTATTGAAAAAAACCCTAACTGATTACAATCTATCTGAGATATAAATATTATAATACAATGTATAATATATGTATAATATTGTTTAACTCGTTCAATATTCCATCATTGCCTGACACTGTTCAACTTATTCAATTTAATTTTCAGAAACCAGGTGATGCTGTGTTAAAAGAGCTAGGGTTTCTTCGTCAAGTTTCTTTACATTTTTAATGCACTGATTTGTAATATTCGTTATGTATGGATCTGATGTATAAAGGAGTATATAAAATACATCTTCGTTTGTAGCATATCTAGAACATTTTCGTGCATGATGTAGTCTAAATTTTTTGTAATCATTATTTCGAGATTCCTGTACATCTTCTGATAGCTGTCCAATAGGTAAAATTGCAAAATGTCGTATGATACGTTCACCATGAATTAATATTTTATGTACGGAAGATGGCATGTAATACCAGTCATAATTTTTAATGTATATTTTTGCCGTTTCCGTAACACCCGATGTCAACACCTGAAAAATTATGTGAAATCGCTTAATCAATATTTCGTCGACACTGGTAATTTCTGCCGAAGAAGAAGCATTACAAAAAAATCTTCTAGCAGTATTTCCATCGTTTGTATTACCACTTATTTCTTTGGCTCATCAATAATCAAACCAAGCTATTTGCGGAATCGTGCCTGGACCAAAGCTTTCTTATCTCTTTTTAATTGTTTATTTTCTGCGGTAGTAGCTGACCACTTTCGGAAGGGTAGATAATATGATATGTGTAAAATCATCTCCATGCAACGTATCGAGGCATGTATCATTGACAAACCATAGCGAAATGCATTATCATTTTCTGGTCTTGTTGCCACCTTTTCTAAATTATTCATTTGCTGTGGATTAGCACCGCAAATAGTGCATGTCGAGCACAACGGCTTTTGTTTTCTCGGGAGTCTCTTTAGAAACTCGATTGAAATTGGTCGACAAATCCGCACAGAAGAGGGGACAGGATTTTGCCACACTACCGTACTTGTGTGATTTAATAAATCTTGTAAAGATGTTACCTTTGCATATGTATTGCTGATTTCTATGCTAGAAACAGGTTGATAACAGCTTTTTTTACTTTCCTAGATGTTGTGATAAGAAGGTGGCAATAAAAAGCAGCTTTTCTCATTGGTTAGATTTCTAAGGTATAAATATTGTGCTTTAGTGAAATCTAAATCAATGTAAACGCTTAATGCTTCAACTACAGTCAATGGTTGTGATTTATCATGGTGGATCTGTTTTAAAATTGCTTTCTTTTCATCAGGCTGCAAATCTCTTATAGTCTCCACTACATTTGCTTCATCACTTTCTCCCATTGACCGTAATCCCTGAATATACGCACTGTATATACGATCAAATCCATATTCATTTAGCAATGTGGTATTTTTTCGTCTCTTACTAGATGCTGCAGAATCTTCGTAAGGTAGATACGGTCTTCCTCTCTTTTCATTAGATGTAGATGGCATGGAACCAACAGATTCGTCGCATTCTTCATTTAGAACAGATAAAGATACAGTATACTCCTGGTTTAACCAATCATGAGCCAAATGATTGGCTCAATCAATATTACCAAAAAAATTAAGTGCGCCATTGGCCGTTGAAGATTTATTCACGCCAACTAAATTAATGGGCAACAATATATAACCGAAAACTGATTACATATTGTGTTGAATAACTTGAAAAGCATGCAAATAAATAAATATTTATAAAAATAATTTTAAAATTAGACTATTTTTTAATAATTAAAAATGATTTAACACGAGAGGGCAGCGCTAAAGCGTTTGTGAGGCCAGA